TTAAGCAATAATGGATAGTATAACTTAGAAAGTGTTATAGATGTAATTTACACTCAAATAAATGTATAGATTTGTCTACATCTTTAATTACATCCTGACAGGCTTTTTCTTTGATAGGGGATAAAGGTTGATCATTTGTTTTGATTGGTCCCAGCTTGTAGTTTACTGGATTACCAAAGAACCTCAGATCAAGACAAAATGGACTTTGTTTAACATACAGGAAGAAGAAATGTAGATTTATTTAAATTGGGGAATCATTTTAAAGTAGGAAAACTGAAAGATGATCAGTGCAGATGAAGTTGTACATCAATCTATCCTAAAGAAGCAAAGAAACCTTGAATAATATGCAATACAGTCCATCATGTGTGGATGTAAACCTCTGACTGTGGCTTCCTGTGATAGTTTGATAACTGTCATGTTGATGATCTTTATGACGTTCAAAGGTCTGCATTATGGTTTGGTCAATTTCAAAGGTTGCACTGGATTACAGAACCCTCCAGTATCATGTGACAAAGATTTTTTTTTTCAGATTTGTTATTTAAAGAATGTTTTCCCTGAAGCAAATTTTAAAAACAATAATAATAAATCTCTAGATTGAGACAGAGAGAAATATTAATCAAACTTTAAATTGAAAGCAACTGAATTTAACCCCCAAAATATAATAAAAAAAATGTATTTGATTTAATTTGCTGTTTTTAGGCAGTAAACCTGTTTATCTGCACCTCTTTTTTTACAGGTCCTAACAGACGCTCTGATGCCACTTCCAATGGTAAGTGCTTTATTGTGTTGCTTTTAGTTTTTGCATGGGGGACAAAAACTGATCATACAGTATCAGAAGTAAAAAATAAAAGCAAATGTTATAAACAATGTAAACATGATTTGCGTTAAATTTTACTCATTAATATTCATTACAATCCTTTACCTGCTATTTATTAAGAGCTTCATGTCCAGCATGGTCCACCGGCGCAGCTCTGCTTTGTTTACATTAAAGACAAGCACCTGCTACATAACATTTTCATTCTAAAGTAAAATGAAGAGGAAGAAAGTATAAAAAGGCTTCGTTCTCCCTGCAGAAGCTGTGCTTCAAATTAAGAGAAGGAATAAATTACCTCAGGGAACCTAGCTTAGCATGACACCGGTGCAACTGGCCCTGTGCCGTCCTTTGCATTATATAGATGCATCCCAGAGAGGTCCCTGGTTCAAACACCGGTTTGTGCTCTGATTTTTAAAATCCCCCCTTTGGATTCTCTCAGGGCACTCCAGCTTCCAGAAAGAATCATGTTTGTTTTAGTGTTTTTTTTTTGTTTTTTTTTTTTCACTTTTTTTTTTTTATAGATTTTTTACAGGTATATAACAAGAACATGACAATGATTAATGTCCTTTAGTGAGTCCTTTAGCACTTCTCACAAAAAAAAACACAGAAAAAACAAACAAAAAAAGCATTAGACAAACAATAAATAATCTATAAAAATAATTTGTTCATTTACACTTTAGACATACTGAAAGTAAA